TATGTGTGTAGACGTACGCTCAGGCTCTTGTGTATGCGTGTGTATAAGTATATCTATGAATATTTTGAAAATATATAATATAGTATATTTGGAAAATATCTAATATAGTATATATATATATATATATATATATATATATATATATATATATATATATATATATATATATATATATATATATATATATATATATATATATATATATAAAAAGAGAGATGAGTTTCATATACATATATATATATACACTATATTATATATTTTAATATATATATATCTATATATATATATATATTATATATTTTAATATATATATATATATATATACACTATATTATATATTTTTTATATATATATATATATATATATATATATATATATATATATATACTTTTAATATATATATATATATATATATATATATATATATATATATATATATATATATATTGATTTCGGAAAGGAATAATCGAAGTCGATCAAAAGTAAATACGGGGAAAACAAACAGCTTCGTGTTTCTACACCAAAAAAAAAGACTTCTATGGAAATCAGTCGTCCAAATATACGCCATTTTATCAAAATTTTATATGGCTGCCCTTTTTAATACATTTCATAGGATTTCCTGTTAACGTGACTACTAAGGGAATATATCGATTTTTACTCCATGCTTACTTTATGGGAGGAAAAACTATGTAAATGGTTATGCTTACTCCTTACTTTATATAGGAATTTAGTTATCAGAAAGTTGCAAGAAACAATAGACCTTGGGAATAAGAATTTTATCGTCTTAGAAAATGGATTTGTTGGATTGGGTTCAAACTCCGATTGACGGTGTTCCTAAGCACTTAGCATACATTTTAACTTTCTTGTCCCTCCAACGGATATTTTGACAGAAAAGATCTCTCTTTCATGTAACAATAACAGTGGAAAGGTTAGAATTTATGCTACCACAGGATTATTGGCCACGCGACTCAAACTTCAAGAGAAACGATTTTATGAGGAAACAACACGATACTTGGTTAGTTAATAAGTTCTTTTCTGCTATAGATGTGCCCAGACTACATAAATTTAAGCATGCTGCTAGATTGGCATCTTGGTTCCATAGGTTTTCTGTTCAAACAGAGAAATGCAATTGGCATTTCTATTCCAACGATTTTTTTTTCTCGCACTTTTACTTTTTTCCCTGATAACTACAATCTTCAAAAATTTTAATGCAACGTCAATCGCCATCTTTTATTTTTTTTTGAATACTGTTCATCTTTTGACCTGTCTTTCATTCTCCCTAAACTCAGTCTTTTCTTTCACGTTAGTCACATTTCCGCTTTGCTTAGGTGAAATGATTAAAAAAATAGATGTGGCTATATTAAAAAAAAATGATCTCTTTTGACTATATTGAAAGCTGCAATCGCAACGGGCATTTTTAAGAAAAAAAAAAACATCTCCAAATTGATTAATTTCTCATGGAATCTAACATTGAAGATAAAAGGAAAAAAATCCTCGTTTTCAGCATATTATGGATTTTATTTTAGGAAAAGTTAAAAAATTCCAACACAGACGCAGGCAGATTTTATAATTCACGGAGAAGAATTCACTGTAGAAGTTCAAACGAAACCAAAGTTGTTTGTGATGATTCCTGTCCGGTATTTCTTGATGAATAATGAGTCACAGTTGCGTAGAATAATTGTATCTGATCGTAATTATAGCCAGATATTACTTGAGAATAATCCTCATTGCATGACGAGAGACATAGACAACATACACAGACCCTGGAAATCATTTGTTTGCATTAATCTTTTTAATGCATGGCGTTGACAAAAAATGAAAGCGAAAACACCCTACCTAAATATAATTGATACTTCAGAACAAGGAACGGTTCCATTATAAATCAAATTGTGACATGAAAAGTGGATACTTTTTAACAAGTTATAGGGAAATAGGGAACCACATCTAAGATTACAAAAGAACAGTCTTCTTCGAAATAATATTTCTTTCTATATACCGTGTCATTTCAGCATATTGGCGGTTATGACTCTCCACTATGTCCTGTACTTTTTATTAGGAGGTACGGTAGAATAATAGATTGCGGCTCGGATTGAGGAATCGAAGTCGAATTCCAATCGAGGTCGAATTCCAATCGAGTTCATTACATTCACTTACGTGCTAATTCTCTTGGGAAAAGTATGAAACCATCTCTTCCCCGCCATCTCTGGGTAATAAGCACGGTAAATTGAGTTCTGTAGGTTTGGATGGCAACTGGTCTAGCAGAAGGAAATCTCTGAATTCAAGCAAATGCTATGCAGCTAAAAAAAATATCGTTATCCCTGCTCTGCCATCCATTCACTCAAGCTGGCCAGGCAGGTTATGAATTGCTTTCCTCTGTATTTATTGCCTTCAATCTACCCTGTGAGTATCATTTTTTCAAGCACTCTTTCCTCATCATGTGCCCTAGAAATTTTAAATATATCTTCCTAGTGTTAAGTATAAGTGTTTTCATTGTTCTAATCCATAGTCGTTGCTCACATGTTCGGTTCGTGGTATTCTCAGCATCCTTCTGTAGAACGATATTTCTGTTGCGTCAAGTCTCTTTCTTCATCTGTGAAGAAATTGTTCAGCATTCACTTATACATAGGAGAACTAATATTAAATAACAGTCCAGTACTATTTTCTTCGTTTCTAAAGGCATTTTTTTCTTTTTCTTAATACTTTGCTTAGCTTTTGAAAGGTATCTTCTGATTTCTGTGTCGCACTTTCTGCTCCCTGTTAAAATGCCTCCCTGATATTTAAATAGTAGCGCTTGTTTGATTTGCAATTTGGGTGTTTGGTGTCCCTTTTGCTAACAACTATACATTCAGTCTGCTTGCAATTGATGTTTTCTCCTTTCTTCTCATCCCCCCCCCCCAAACGTCTTCTGTACCAGCCTCTGTAGTTTGCATTCTATGCCTTCTATTAACTCTATGTCATCTGTATATTTTATATTGGTAAGATTGTGGTCGCCAGTAATTGATTCTGTTAGGACTTCTTATTCTCTCAGACCCCCCACCCTGTATATATATTTAAAAGACTGGTGAGAAGATGCATCCTTGTCTTAGACTCCTCAAACAAATACTTTCCCCAATGCCTTCATTTTGACATTGATTATTGTAGATATTAAGCAATATTTTCCGCATATTATGCTTTTTATGCTTGTTTTTTTTTTTTTTTTTTTAAAGTAAAATCCGACCCCCCCAAAAAAAGAAAAGAAAGTGTCTGCAGTTTATGGAGAAGGTAATGTGACTAATCTAACGTGTCGAAAGTGGTTTGCGAAGTTTCATTTTAAATCTTACTTACAGAAAAATGACTTATGTCTAGTTGAAAAATTGAGGTTGATAGCGATCATAGCACCGGGTGTCTTGAGGATAACCTTATTATGTGAAATTTTCGGTAATATACGGAACGACTAAAATTCATTGGCAGTAGCTATGTTATGGTAGTTGGTTTTATGCATATGATCCATATAAGCCAAAAGAATATAATCTTACATCGTATTTACATGTGCCATAACTTATTTAAGCGTAACGAAAATGTTTTAAGTGAAAAAAAATTACGATAGGCGATGAAAAGTAGATATATGAAAACAACCTGAATCGTAAGCGAATTTAAAATAAACTAAATGCATCAGCTGTAATTGCACAAGACAAGTATTCATCTAAAACCATTAATGGTGTGTATATAATAGCTCTAGAAGAGGGGTTACTTGATTCCAAAGGGTTCAAATATGTAAGTGGAAGAATTCCAGCTAGAGGCGGAATTACGAATTAGACCAAATGGACATTTGATCACCTATTGAAATAATTCAATTCTTATTCAAGTGCCGTGTCCCATCTGGCGTTCATGGCCCTCCACAACTTCCTGTCCGTTGTAGCTCTTAATAAACTTTGTCTTTCTGTTTTTTCTCTTACGCATTGTTCCACCAGCCATTTACCCAAGGTCATTAGTATATCATTCGATGTTTACGTCCTTCTTGCCCGCTATCTGTCCTTGTGAGTATCAGATTTTCCAAGTTCTCCTTCCTCATTATATGCTCTAGAAACAGCTACTGTCTCTTCCTGATATTAAGTATTCAATTATTATTATACAATTAATGTAATTTGATTTTATCAATTATTTTACTAATTTGGACTGTAATGATGTGCGAGAAAACAATGCCGCATGGGGAAACAACTGAGGCGATCTGGGATTGCAAAATAATGTGACTTTTGATTTTGATAGACACTGAATAAAGGTACGATTCTGAATGTCTGATTTAGAACGGGAAAAAAATTACTTTTAGACATTTTGTCCCTGTATCTGTAACCTATAAAGATAAAACTAAGAGAACAAGAAGACCTAACAGGGTAAATAATCAGCAGACTTTTGAGGACTTTCAACAACAGCAACAACTAAAATGGATAGCATGAAAATAAAATAATGACATGGTCAAGATATTTGATATTCTACACTACTTCAAATAAAACACTTACTGCCATATCATAATGGCGTACGATATATGGACAACACTGTTGATGAAAAACACAGAAAAGGAAAATAGAAGGGACTTAGCAAAAAGGTAGTATAAGAAAGTGATTAGAAAGATCTAACGACACAGCAAATTGCTGCAAAACCAATACATCAACCTGAAAATGCGAGTCATGTCCTCAAGTAACCGCGTCAGATAGAGAATTTCCTATGCACAGCAGCTTACCCGTCTTAAACTCTCAGTTCAATACAACCGCTCTCAAAGATCAATGGTTCAAAGTGTCATTGAGTGAATGAAGCTTAATGTCCTTGAGAAAAGATCACACTTATTCGAAAGTTGTGGACTGGCGCGACAGAATCACAAACAAAGAATTGTACCAAATAACATAAATTAATTCACGTTTGAGGATTTTCAACAACGGCGACAACTAAAATGGATAGCATGAAAATAAAATAATGGCATAGTCAAGATATTTGATATTCTAAACTACTTCAAATAAAACATTTACTGCCATATCACGTTGAAGTACCGGTTCCCCTACGATAACTGAAGTTAAGAAACGTAGGGCTTGGTCAAGATGGGTGACCGTTTGGGAATACCACGTGATGTAAGCTTGAATGTGCGGCTGGTGTAATGGGTTATGACTCGGAATTGTTAATCGGAGAGCCGAGTTCAAATTACCGTTGGGTTTGTTATATTTACTTACTCGAAAATACAATCGGTATGCTCTCCCTGCTATGGGTTAATTAGTAACCTGTAACAGTAAATCAGTATATATATATATGTAAACACTTATAACAATCTAATAATATTCTCTGGCTTTAAATAAACTGCAAAGAGTTGATAAGTCGTAAAAATCGAATCAATCAAGCAATTAATTAATCAACATGAAATAAAAGTTGAGGAAATAAATTTTCACTGTAAAGCCCAATAAAAGCCACTGGACTCGAGAAACTTATTTTGATAAAAATATGTTTTAAAAAAAAGATTTTATGAATTTCACCCGAGACTATTACAAGCTGTTCGGTCATTGAATATTTCAAATATTTCCTTATAATATTACATTAATATTAACTATAAAAAAAGACAGAATTGTATAATGTAAGGTAAAGAAACCTTCCAATGTGCGAGGTTATGTATTGGGGACGTTGAAATCAAGCCGATGCATAAATGTGACCATCTGGATAGTGTAGTAACAGATGATGTCAAACGCGAACTACAAATCCAAAGGCATATGGGGAAGAGGGGAAAAAAACTTTCCAGAAATTAAGCGAAGTATTAAGACTCAGAAAAACATCATTAAAAAGAATGAAAAGTGGTATAGGCTCTTAATACTAGCAGCATGGCCCGGCGTTGCCCGTGCTTGATTCAAAAATCGTACGACTCATACAGCAATCGCTAACACTTGACTTAAATTATTTTTGCCCTTCCTTGCCTTTAAAGGAGTGCCCTTTGCCGTGCTGATGTTGCTACATGCCTTACTTCTTGCCTATCTCACACTGCGTTTTTTTCTAAGCTCTATACTAAACATTAAATCTGTTACGAAAAAAAGAACTAAACAAAATGAACACAAAACGATCAGCTTTAAAAAAGGACTCGTAACTGGAAAAACCGAATGAAAAAAGAATGTTAACAACAAATACTTTTTCACACCCAACCCAGTTCTGCGGAACCAGAATCAACGTTGAGTTTAAGCAAGCGAATGAGCCAATTGGAGTAAAGTGCCATGCAGATTTAAATTTTTCCCACTTGTGACGAATGCAGCTATCATTTTTTTTTTTGCATGCTAGCATGCTAGTTAACATTCGTGTCAGTCAGCTGTTGGCTCTCACGCTGGCCAATAGAATCTTCCTGCCTATTCGTGGCAGCCAGCTATAGGTTCTCACTTTGGTCAGTAGAAAATGGCCGCAAACTACATGAAAACTGCCGTAGAAGCATGAAAAAATCGATTATTTCCACTATTGATGGGAGTTGGGAAATGCAACGTCGGCCTTGGCCTTCCCGCTAACTTGGAGCATGTGCGTGTAAATTTTGGTGCAAATCCGTCGAAAATGGCGGCCGTGCATTCTTTACACATAAACACACATCCTGTCTTTCATAGATAGAGATTTAATCTCATATATGACAGTGAATAGGAAAAAAAAATTCTTACACCTCAAAAGGCAACTACAAGTGACAGTGATGGATACGGTGGATACTAAGGACAGTGTTTATAAGTAAGGAGAAGGTTTTATGAAAAATAGGACGAACAAAGAAATATATATTTCCCAGATGAGCTATATTAACTGTTTACACTGTTTACATCGTTCGGACTGTTGTGCTCATCTTTAATGCCATATTCGCGACGTTTCGAGCATTGTACGCTTCGACTTGAAAGAGAATGGTAAAAGAAAGAACGCTTCCACGCAGAATAAGAAAGAAACGGCTGAACTTCCTTGGACACATAATGAGGAAAGAGGGCTTGGAAAACGTAATACTCACAAGGCACGTTGACGGCACGAGAGATAATGGAGGGCAGCGTGACACTTAGCAGACGAGCTTGTGTAAATGGATGGCGGAAAGAAAAGCGGAGGCATTGCTAAAGGAAGAAAAACCGCTAAGGGCCCCAAGGGATAAGAAGATGTGGAGAGCCATAATTCCCCATTACCTGAAGGGACACAGCACATAGAGGAAAACGCATTCAAGACGGCAAGAATATGAGGGTAACAGTGTGGATCTACACCTATTTTTTTGTGAAAAGATGGCTGAACAGAGACATAGGTGAATGTTTAATACAGGGAAAATTAGACCAAGAGCAGTAAGAAATAATCACAGAGATTTGGACTGCTACCATTCCTCATGTACTGAAAGAACTTGGCATATATTCGAAGAAGTAACCTTTGATTTTCGGCTCCTTCTACATCATTTCTAGGTTTATATTTAAAACGAGATTGCTGCCATATATGGTGTGGTGCACCTTCTGCTTACCTCGGAGTTCTTGACAAGATCCAGAGGCGAATATGTAATCTAATTGGCCCTGATCTGGCGTCGCGTCTACAGTTGCTCTCTCACAGACGCGCCGTCGCCTCTCTCTGTCTTTTCTACAAATACTTCCATGGTAACTGCTCTGACGAGCTGCTTTCTCTGGTTCCCAGACTTCATGAATTCAAGCGCCCTACGAGGCTGGCATCCCGCTCTCACCCTTAGACCGTAGAAACTTTCAAATGTAGCCGTCTCTTCTAATTCAATAGCTTCATACCTCGCACCTCTCGCCAGTGGAACACCCTCCCCAATTACTGTTTCCCTGAAAGCTATAATCTCCAACTACTCAAATGTAATGTCAATCGACATCTCCAGTTACCTTGATCTACCCACTATCCTTCTCCTCATCCTTTCTTCTATCACTCCTATCCGCTCTCGCTCCAAATCTTCCGCAACCCCCTGCATCCTTGCTTGGGGCGTAATGCTTATAAAAAAAAAAATCTGGCATGAAGCCTTATGAGTAGAAAAAGACGATGGGAAGTTTGTGTGACGTCAGTCATTTCAGTAAAAAACGCCTGCTTGTTTTCGCAAGCAGGACTTGGAATCTTGGCTATTGCGCATAGCCTAATTGGAATGAAAAATGAAACATGATTATATAAACTACAAGATAGGACAAAATGCGATTTCCTTTGAAATCATATTTACCTGCGATATTTTTAATATACCAAGTGTAATACCAAAATTGTCCAAAAGTGTTTGATGATAACCAGTCACCCCCATGAAGGATTACACTATAGATAGTAAGTACCAATAAAGTACGAGAGACTAAACAGAGAGAAGAGAGTGAGTAAGACGCAAGCACGTCCGACCTTCCAATTAGTGGCACTCGCTACTAGATTTACCTGTGTGTATAACTGTACCGTATTTTATATTGTACAATAAACCTTTCTTCTAGTATCCACCTGGTTTTATGTGTTTATTCCTTTAGCACGGAATATAACAGTGGCGACGAGGATGTTTGAAAAGAACTCACACCAGTTTATCAATTTTACAACATAATTGTACATCCCACAAAATGTTTAATATCAAAAAAGAAAATACTAAAATAAATAGAGTTTCTTTTCCCGGGTTTTCAGATAAGACGTTTAGCCATCTTGATACCATTTGTTGTGAGAATCACTAAAAAAAATCCCTTTCAGTTATTCACCTAGAAAGAGAACAGGTTAAAATCGTTTTGTGTCAGCCCCACTCTAATGAGCAATGGTGATAGGAAAAAATCATTCAAGCCTTCAGTAATGGTACCAACATTCATACTCTGGTTTCCATCTTCGAAGTCCATTCAAGAACCATCAACAAGAATGATATGTCCCGGAAAGGGAGATATTTGTTCGAAGTAGCAAAGTGGTTTTGGACTACTGTAACTGAGTAGGACAAGGTATATGCATATTCATTACATCAAAGAATTTCAACTATAACAGTCTAAAAAAAGACTTGAAAATGAAATCTTACGTAAAACGTGTCGGTACATTGTTACTCAAGGACAGAAAGTTAGAAGATTAGAGAAGGCGAAGATCATCTTCAATAACTTAGAAAATGATCCTGAAATAATATATATATATATATATATGTGTGTGTGTGTGTGTGTGTGTGTGTGCGTGTGTGTGTGTGTGTATGTGTTTGAACTTAGTTACGAGCTTAAGACTCTTAGATATGATTCATTAATGATGAACGTGTCATTTTCATTTATGATCGATTTCATCACGATTCTTTTATTAAGATTTGAGAGTAATTATACATTGTTATTGCTTAGAGTAGAGTCTAATAGTATTATAAAATCCTCGGAGAATTCCAGTAAGATATCTTTAATCATTTCTAAGATAGAACGGTTCAAATGTTATCAAAAGAATTAACAATTTTGCTGTTACACGATTTGGAATATCTGCTGTTCAACCGGTAAATGCCTTTGTTCTTTAGTACATTAAGTCTCTTTAACCCTGTTTATCTCTCTTACCTGTTGGGGTATATATATATAATATACACTATTGTCGTCTTTTAGAAGTCTTCTTTCCGGCATCGCTCAAAAGAATAAAATTCAGCTTTTACAGCTACTGATGCCGAAATACGTATTCAGTTAGAATGGTTGTTTTTGCTTCATGTCAACTTTTTGGAATATATTTAATACCAGATATTATGTGAAAAACACCGTGAGGATTGAAATAACTTCTCAGTACTAATGGTCAACAGGAATAGCCCCCCCCCTCCCATTAATCATTACCTATTTCTTTACAACATTCAAATATATAAGATTTATATTGAACATCTGGTGAGGATTGAACGCAGTACATATTACCTCACTTCGAACAGACAATATATTCATTAACGCCTGGAACTCATGTATGAAGTTTTTTTGAAATGCATGGTTGAAAAGAAAAATGAAAGGAAAAGTATTTTTAAAATTCAGCGTTTTTCTTCCTAAAGTATCATAACTTTATAGACATCTATGGGAAAGTTTAGAAAATAAAAAAAAATAACCTTTCATTTTATTTTGTTTCATTTTAACATCTTTGACTTCTTTGTCTCAGGAGACCTTTTAAATGATTGTCCCAATCGTATATATTATCATACAACGTCCGTGTTCAAGGTAAATTCAATTCTTCGATTTTTTTCTGACGCTTCTCAAGATAGACTCGGACAAAATGAGAGATGGAGAATCTTACTTAAAAAAAAAAACCCAAGCGGTTAAAATAGAATGGATGTTCAATAACATAGAGACGACCGCGTTTTCAACTTTTCAAAATTTGTCCCTAACTAAAAAAAAAAAAAAAAAAAACGCTTTGGTTTGATCACCTGTAGCTTAGCGTCACCATTTCTTGTCTGGGAATATTCCACTATGCACTTATTGCGTCGCTAAATATTTCAGCTTAAAATCTTTAACAATATATTGCAATAAAACAGACATAAGTATGAATGGCGGTTATTAGTTAAAGAAGTAAGAAGGTATGAATGAAAAAATTAAAAATTGACCAGGTTTTCCATTTCACTGAAGTGCAAGTTTATGGGGATGCGAAGACAATTATCTCCCTTTTTTTTTTTAGACGAAGTCACGAAAGTAACGTGACGGTCGAGAAGTGACGTCATCAAAATGTCGTAGTTGGTATTTAGCACGCCTAGTGACAAGACATGTCAGCGCACGCCAGTTGCTGGTGATAGACCGCTAAAGCGCTAGACATAAGCCACAGTAGTAAGGAGAATATGGCAACTCTAAGTTCGTAGAACATGCCACCGGCCTGGCTCGGGAAATATTACAAGTAAGTCCCAATCGCTTATTGCCTTTCTACTCTGTTTGCTTTATTCATATGTTAAAATTTCTCTTCGTGAGACAAATTACTGGTAAGTATTTATATATTTGGACATATTTTCTTGTATGATATACCAGTTTATATGATCACCCTGAAAACGAAGCATGTTTGACATTCATTTCTTTAAAACTATCTGTTCCGTCCATGTATTAAGTTGTTACCGTACCTCTATCTATAAAAGTCAGGATGTGTGTGTGTGTGTGTGTGTGTGTGTGTGTGTATAACGAATGCACGGCCGCAATTTTCGACGGATTTGCACCAAAATTTACATGCTCATGCTCCAAGTTAACGGGATGGCCAAAACCGACTTTGCATTTCCCAACTCCCATCGATAGTGGAAATAATCGATTTGTTTTCATGCTTCTACGGCAGTTTTCATGTAGTTTGCGGCCATTTTCTACTGGCTGCCACGAATACGCAGGAAGATTCTATTGGCCAGCGTGAGAGCCAACAGCTGACTGACACGAATGTTAACTAGCATGCTAGCATGCAAAAAAATCGATAGCTGCATTTGTCTCAAGTGGGAAAAGTTTAAATCTGCATGGCACTTTACTCCAATTGGCTCATTCGCTTGTTTAAACTCAACGTTGATTCTGATTCTGCAGAACTGGGTTGGGTGTGAAAAAGTATTTGTTTTTAACATTCTTTTTTCATTCGGTTTTTCCAGTTACGAGTCCTTTTTTAAAGCTGATCGTTTTGTGTTCATTTTGTTTTGTTCTTTTTTCGTAACAGATTTAATGTTTAGTATAGAGCTTAGAAAAAATTCGCAGTGTGAGATAGGCAAGAAGTAAGGCATGCAGCAACATCAGCACGGAAAAGGGCACTCCTTTAAAGGCAAGGAAGGGCAAAAATATTTTAAGTCAAGTGATGGCGATAGCTGTATGAGTCGTACGATTTTTTGAATCAAGAATGGGCAACGCCGGGCCATGCTGCTAGTGACGGATATAATTCTGTTTAGAATCAGTCAGTTATGTGCCATGCTTGATACACACTTCGGCGATCATGTATCTTTCGATACATGACTGACGAGACAGATTTTTCCCGCAGTAGGTTGCCATTTCTTTCTGCGGTAGACCAGTTGACATCCAAGGATATAGAACCCGTAGGTTGGGGAAGAAGAAGAAGAAGAGTCATACCATTCCCAAGGGTATTAGTACGTAAGTAAATGTAATGGATTCGACTGGAATTCGAACTCGGCTCTCCGATTTCTCAATCCGAGCCGCTATCCATTACTCCACTATATAAAAATATTGCCAGTTTATACCTCCTTGTTTAGAACTGGGAAGTGTCAACCGGAAATATTCTTTATTGCCTAGTACCCACATTACGTTAAAGGCATGAGAGCATTATATCCCCGTCTATCTCCCTTTTCTTTCTTTCTTTGTTTCTCTCTTTCTCATTACTATGTATTTTTTTGCAGTAAAACCAAACACAGTGTCTGATATACGTTGTTCTTCCGTCTTTCTTGCAATCAAAACGGAATGGTTCATTATTTATATTAGGAAAATCCAGAGCGTAAAGGCCATGCTAACTCACTAATATGTTACTAATGGACGAACAGAGAGAATAAGAATATGATATTGTGCTTACTTTGTTTCCATAGTAGAAATTGAGACATCCAAAATAAGTAAGGATATGTATTATAAGCTGAAATTGAAAACATATATTGATTGTATAAATAATATAACTTGAAAATCTTACTAAATATAGTTTGTTTAATAGCAATCATAATTGTGAAAGCATCGTGTTGTGTAAGAAAGTCACACAGTGTACTTTCTGAAGTGTTGATGCTACACATGCTGAGGTTCCTACCAGTCTCCTAATTAGAATAAGGAAGGCCGTTTGAAAAGTTTGATTGCTTCTCAAAATTGAATTTTGATGACTGAATTAGATTTTCGCTATTGTTGAATATTCGAGAGTCGCGCATGAATTATGGATTTTCGTCTTCGCCCCGTTCACAGGTCCGACTCCAGCATCGCAATGCCTTTAGGTTAGCTGAAGCCAAGAAATCATCCGTGAAGGTAAGTAAATTTAATCACCCGAATGAAGGAAGCGTTTGGATGACAGTTGGCCCCTGAGCAACCTATATTAGGAGGTAAAGTTGGTTTGGTGAAAAAATATATATATATATATATATATATATATATATATATATATATATATATATATATATATATATACAGAGGGGTAATGAACAAACTTTTTATGATATTTATTTTCGTCTTTCACGAATATTTTTTTTTCTGCTTCATTATTGTTTTATCTTATTTTTTAGTCTCAATTTCTTTCCCTTCATTCGTAATGCGTTGTCTTCAGCTTAATTTCTGTCTCTTCATCCGTCTTTCTTTTTCTTCGTTCTTTTTCTTCATGTTTCTTTGTCGTTATTATTGCATCTTCATCATCCGTATGGTCTCCATTGTAATTTTTTCTTCTTCGGCCTTGTATCTTCCGCTCCACCATTTTCTTGTTCTTCGTTCTTATTTATTTTCTGACGTAGTCTCATCTTCCATTTTTCTTTCTTATTTATTCACGCTTCCTTATTTATTCTCCCTTATTTCTTCTTTCTCATCTAGACTTCTTCCCGAGTTTCTGTAGGGTAGTCAGAAATTCAACCGTACATAATATAATTTCCTATTTCAGATGGTTGACACGATCTCTTACAGTTTGGAAGTGAGGCTGCTTGCAAGTGTATGGACGATACCAGAATAGCCATCAGTTGAGAGACGCTGTTCAGAGAGGCTTTCCAACAACCAACAAAGCACAGCTCCGTAAAATATCACACAGGATCTGTCGACGCATCATCTTGTGCCACGAAAATGATATTGTTCATACACACCTTCTCGATGAATGACAGCGTCAATGATACTGACTAAACTGAATCCAATATATGTCCTTTGTATTACTTGTTATGATATTGTCCTCATTACTTTTTGGTAGGAAGTGACAAGATTTCGGAACACCCTGTACTTCATATCTTCACCATCTTTATTTTTTTTTCTTGGTTTCTTCGACATTATATCTTTTTTTTCGGGCTATTTTTTTCAATTAGGCTTCTTTATTTTTGTTGTAACTTAGGGAAAGGTTACTGAATAAGAATAACCAAAACGAGGCTTGGAAAGGGAACGACAATATTTATAACATTAACAACATACAGGATTCGCCAGCGGCGTGTAGTAAGTAATCAAATGCTAGTGATAAGATAGAGGTTTAGCAACATGCAGTATATTCTACCGTATTTATAAGTATTGAGGCATGTCCATTATAATCCATTGGCACGGTATAACATTTTTTTTCATTGTTTCTTTTCTCATTTTATTTCATTTTCTTTATTTCTTCTCCTTCTTCATTTTTACCGTGTTTCTTCATTCGGCCATATTTCTTTTTCCGTAATATTGCTTCGGTTTACTTTTCCTTTACACTTTTCTGTTTTTTCTTTATGTCTTCTCTGACCTGATTCCGTCTTTCTAATTTCTCCATCTTCTATATTTTTTTTCTTCTACATTTTTTCTTCTTCTTCCATATAACATATTCGATGTTTTTTCCTTTCTTCATCTTCAGTGTTCTTCTTCTTCTTCTTCTTCTTCTTCTTCTTCTTCTTCTTCTTCTTCTTCTTCTTCTTCTTTTTTTTTTTTTTTTTTTTTTACATTCATTATTTGCAATTCTTTCTTATTTTTCATATTTTTTCGTTGAATAAGACTGATGAATTTATTTTTTCGTTGGGGATTTATAAACTTATTCCCTATATGAAGGACACACACATTGTAACACACACACACACACACACACACACACATATATATATATATATATATATATATATATATATATATATATATATATATATATATATTTTTTATTGATTTATTCTTTGAATGAACTATTAAACAATATTAATTAAGCTGCATTATTTAATAATTTGAAAAAGTTTCGCTCTGCCGTAAAAATTTCTAAAATCTTGTAAGACATTTTTCTAATTATTGGACCAATAGTCCATATCACGTCAACGGAAAAAACAGTTATAATAAAAGAAAATGGGAATTATTACATTACTACAATATTAAAAAATCTAGCGTCGTCTTACTGTACGTTCAAAAAAAATATTCTTACCTGTTAAAACATCTTTCGACAAGTATCCCATTCATTTTCGTCTTGGAATTTTACCTGAAATTAAGGGGAAAAATAACATCTATGCCTGAGGATGGTAAATGTTTTTTCCGAAAGTATTTGCATGCAATATGGACCGCGCATCTGATCCATTGTACAATTAATAAAAACAAGGATCGTGTCGTTGAGTGCCTTCCCAAATCCAATTACAAAACACTGGAATTTGCTTTAATGCGAGTAGATGTCAAATTGATGAAAAACTTCGAACGAAGAAATTTGACAAATGGGAAAATGTTTCATGGAAACTATGTTTAACTATGCGTTTCGCCTTTCTAGGCTTCAACAGATCCCAAAACGAAAGAAAAAAATCTGTGTGTGCATGTGTGTATTTGAGTGTATGCTTAAATATTTTTAAAACGTTGGTGAGAGTTATAATGGACAGGAAGTAGAGGAGAGCCATTGTCACCAACAATTTGGACTCAAAACCGGCACTGAAGAATTATCTATCAATTTTTTTTTTATCAATATATTTGCATATATATAAAATTTTGTTTTTTTATACCCGGTGTTATATTTTCCGATTTGTTTCTGAATTTGTAGATCTGATGATTTGGATCGTGATTATGATTCCAATGTAATAAATTATAACCAGGGAATATTAGTGTTTGAGCTATATATATATATATATATATATATATATATATATGTGTGTGTGTGTGTGTGTGTGTGTGTGTGTGTGTGTGTGTGTGTGTGTGTGTGTGTGTTGTAGCAAATTAAGTATCTCTCACAATGCTAGAAACATAACAAGTAAAAACTACACGGGCAAATTGTATCATTGCTTGTCTTCCATAATTCTCAAGATCTTTGCCATTCTTTCACCGGCACAGTGCACCTGCTTATTACTCACGTATTGTCAGAGTGTTCAGGGACAGAAAATGCCAAAACCAACGACTTGGGAGAGTAGACATCAATTTGGACCTTAAGGGCCTATGATTTCATCGATCTAGTGTCTTATTTTTTTTGGTTTCATATTGAGAAAACCTAAAAAAAAAACCCTCAGTTTTCTTTGAAAGTGTGTCAAGTTTGATAACACCTGAAATGTATCAAAATGTATAATTCGATGTTTTTATGACCACATTTGCATTGAAAATAGTAGCTTTTCTGTTGAAGAATATTCATTTTATTTACTATTTTGTTAGTCACTAGCAAATTTTCCTGTTTATTTCAATACGATTTGGCTTCCATCTATCTATCTATCTATATATATATATATATATATATATATATATATATATATATATGTAATATATATTATAAAAACTTGCTTTGCTAGATGTAAGCCTAAAGTTCTATGTTAACCGTTTTCTTCTCGTGCATCTCGCTTGTGAAACTCTCTTCCAGCCAACATACTTTCCAGCCACCTTTGATCTCCAAAATTTAAATGCAATTTCAATCGTTCTCCACTGATATTTTTTTTATATTGCTATTCATCTCGTTTCTTAATAATTTTCTCTTTTTATTCTTCCATAGCCCCTAACCTTTTATGCCTTCGTAGATTTACTGTCTCACAAGAGGATATATATATATATATATATATATATATATATATATATATATATATATATATATATATATATATATATATAGATAAAGAGAGAGAGAGAGAGAGAGAGAGAGGAATATATCTCTGACAAAGTGGAAAAACATTTGTGTGACGTGTTTATTTCATTAAAAATTCATCGGACTAAATTGATATTTACGTTGATATGTTTACACATGTGCATGAAGGAGAGGAGGCACTGAAATTTTTAATTTAAATTAATTTTTTAATGCATGTTTGCCTGTATAATCTAATCGATTTCATGTAGTTTCTTTTTCTTTTCGGTCATGTTTTCATCATGTTTAAATTATTAAATTAATGTATTCTGACATATATAAATCTAGATATCTTTTCTCCATATAAATATATGTGTGTGTGTGTTTTTTTTTTCTTGTGTGCGTGTAATTAAATATGATTGACAGTGTACTTCTATTAAGTTTTTCATGTATTTGTCTTGTGTGCGAATTGCTTTCTAAATGATTGTCCGTTCCAATCGCTTTCGGCTAATCTATTAGCCGTTTTCAAGGCTTTTGGTTGCGCTAATATAAATGGTGTGTGAGATCATGTTAGGAGTTGCCCTTGTTAAGGCCTGTTATAGGTGCGTATCACATTTGTGTTCTTGATGTGTATGTTACATAACGAACTGTTTAGGTTTTCATTTTTGCTTACATTTGTACTTAGGTATCTGTGGTCTGAAACAGGCCGAGGCAGCCGTTTTGAAAAGCGAGTGGCGGCATATCTGATATAATTATTCATGAATTTGTTTTCTTTATGGGGTATTTGTATTCACTTTTATATAGTTATAAAATATTTCAATATATACTTATAAAATATTTAGGGGGGGGTTTCTGATGATAAATTTGGCTGTTTTTAATTTTTTCTAATAAATCACTTGAAACATTTAGTGTAATTAGTTTCCATCGTCTCTTTCGAAATCTTTCTTTTTGGCTTCTAGGTCAGTACTGACCAGGATTACGGTCATATCCCAGTGAAACATCACCGAAGTTAAGCAATGTCAAGCCTAATCAATACTGTAAGCTTGGATGTGACGTTGCTGTAATGGATAATGGCTCGGAATTCTTAATCGAAGAGTCGAGTTCCATTTATAGTTGGGTTCGTTATATTCACTTACGCGTAAAGTACCCTTGGGAATGGTATGAATCCATCTATTACCCCATCTATGGGTTAATTAGTATAATTTCTTTATCACTAAACCATTATCTTTAAAAAATTCGTCAACCTAAAAATATTTTCTAGCTTTAAATAACTTGCAATGGTTTGATAAACCCTTTAAAACGAATTAATAAATCGATGCTGTCCAGTAATGGAGTCTTCTTTATGTGCCACGCCCCCCCCCTCAGGACGTAGGCGATCATGGTCCCCCACAACATTATGTTTATTGTAGCTCTTAATAAATTTTGTGTTTCTGTTATTTCTACTACGCCCTGTTCCGCCATCTTTTTACTCAAGCTCATTAAGTAAGTTATGCGTTTTTTTTCCTCTGTCCCTCTTGCCCTCTGTCTGTCTCGTGAGTATCAGAATTTCCAAGCCTTCCTTTCTCATTATGCGCCCCAGACATCCCAACTGTCTCTTCCTGATGTTAAGTATTAGTTTCCTTTTTGTTTCCATTTTCTCCAAAACTTCGTCCTTGCTTACGTGATATATCCACAGCATCTTTCTGTAGAACAACATTTTTAGCGCTCCATCTCAAATGCTTCAAAATGTGTGCTGGCGCCCATTATAAATCGAGGGGAAGCATATTTATCCTAACTGCCATTTTCTTCACTGTTGCACTGTTCTCAGTATTTTGCTTATAGATTCATTGAAGAAAAACCTCCTCGAAATATCTTTTAACTTAATTTAACTTAATTCCCGGCAGCTTAGGCTGATCGACATACACCTGATGATGGGCGCCAACGACTGAAACGTTGTAATAACAACAACAAAAGTCAACCTGTAAATAATATAAATTAATTTAAGGAGTTTATATAAGCTTAGTTAACAACAACAAAGTCGGCCACAAAAGTCAACCTGTAAATAATATAAATTAATTTAAGGAGTTTATATAAGCTTAGTTAAGCCATGATAATTTTACTTCAAGGATTATTTATCTAATTTTAAATTTAAAAGAAAAATATTGATGGGTATCAACCAGTGCAAAAAGCAAGAATTATCAAGAGGAAATTTCTCACAAACTGCAATGGAGAAATCGTCAACCTAATCGTCAATTGTAAGAAGTCAAAAATGAATTAATTTATCATCAACAATTCGACAAAAGCTTGTCGTACTCCGTAGCCTAAAAGTACAAAAAGCGTCAGCTATAATTACGGTTTCTACTAGAGGAAAGCAGGTTCGAATCCTGTCGGGGAGCACAATCTTATTAACTAATAAGATTTCTCAAATATTCAGGCCGGTAAGCGAAAATAAATAAGTATATTGTTTAATATATAAACGGAGGGTCTACTTAAATTCGAGTATCTACTAAAAATAACTTTTAAGTAATAAAATATACGAAGCGATGTTGAAATGTTCCGGTCATTTTTTAACATCAGGATTCTCATATTTGGTCATTGAATTATTGATTTTTTTTATCAATTCACCCCAAGCAAAGCAATAAATTCACTAAGACACAAGGAGGTTACTGGGTGTTACAGAATAAGAGAAAAATACTATTAAGTACAGAGACCAATAAAAGAACAAGAATTAAGAAGATAGTGCATTTAAATTTGTGAAGATAAAATTTGATTCAAAAGCCAGAAGCCATTAGAGAGTTCCACAAGCGAGAAGTGCGATAGAAGAAACTGTTAGCATAGAACTTACGGTTACATCTAGCATTTAAATTGTAAAATGATGAGACGTTATCATCAATCTAGTACGGCGCTTAAATTCATAAAGTCTAGTTACCATAGAGAAAAAGTTCATCAGAAATTACCATGAAGAAAAGGCACAGGGAATATACATTATGGCGATGACAGAGTGCC